TGTGTGTTGTTTCTGAACTACAATGTTGTACATGTGACTTGGAAAATGACAAAAGTCAGTACTGTATTGTGCAAAGATACAAACAGGTTCTCAGCGCCTAGCTGGTAACTGATTTCAGAGTGAAAATGTAAATCACCTTTTTGATGATCCCCATGGACATACGGCATAACCTTCCCTCCACTTGCCTTTAACCAGCTTTATCACGCTGTGGTTGTTCAAAGCCACTGCGACAGCCTGACAAAACTGCATCCATTGAAAGTAAACGCCTTTCATGAAAAAGCTGACAATGAGTTTGTTGTGCTCCCCCTACGCTGAACAGCACTATGCAACATAAGCAATCCCACTGATTTCAATGGGACTACTCAATGGGCCAGAGGGTGAAGCCCCTTCCTGTTACTGGTGGGCAGTAAGTATGCAAAATCCCAATTAATTGGTTAACTGATTAAAAGTGTAGCAGGTGGGGGGGAGCGGGCTGCTCAATCTTGGCTGCTTCCACCCCCAAGTAGGGCCGGCAGGCTGGAGCAGCCCCTCCATCTGGTTGTGGACGAGATGGAGGGGGGTGCCCCCAGATACTGGGTAACCAGTTAACCATTTACCCATTCACGGCTCCAGCGAGCAGTTATTTACATTACACACTTACTCGTGCTCAGTAGATCTCATGTTAGTCTGTAACTAAAAGTACTTAAAAAAACAACAATGGTCCTGCAGCACCTTAGAGACTAACAAATATATAAACAGTATCCATGAGCTTTCATGGGCACAACCATTTGTCATCTGAAGAAGTGGGTTGTGCCCACGAAAGCTCATGACACTGTTTATATATTTTTATTAGTCTCTAAGGCGCTACATGGCCACTGTTGTTTTTCAAGTTTTTTCATGCTCAATAGTTTGCTGAAAGTAGTCCCATTGTATGCACCCACCTGAGGAGTAAGTTGCCCACAGAGTAAGGACAACTCAATCTGGCCCTAAAGTAATGAGCCACCTGATGGAAAGGACTCTCCTCAGTATAGTAAGGGTACAAACCCACAGTAGCTTAGTGAATGCAGTTAAATGTAGCCTCCTTCTGGACTTTAGAACGATCGTGTCTTTATTTTCACCTTTTAAAATAATGTTAAATATGTATCCTTCAAAGATCGCACAGTGGTTCCTAGATTAAAATATAACAAATGTAAAACATAACAGTAAGAAGTTACAAATCAGGCTACTAAATTCTAAGCTATCTCCATAATAAAAAAGTATACAGCGTAAGGTACAAAAAGCTGCAAGCGAGCAGCTCTGATTCCTAGGGCTCTCAGTCTGAGTGGCTTTGCCGAGTCCTCCAGCATGTCAGACATGAGCAGTTTGAGACTTATCAGAAGACTGCAAAGAATTCTTTCTTGAAGTTAAACACGCATTACCCTTGCATGTCTAACACCAGTTAGTAGAGCAAAGCATTTTCTTAAATAAAGTTAGGGAAAAGTTTAATAATAGATCTATGAATTAGCATAGAAAACTGATTTGCTTTTATAATTTTCCTTTTCTTCTTTGGCAAATAAATGGCAAATGCAAAACAGAAAAATGTAAGTCAAGTAACAAGTTGTGCTAGTAATCACTCAAGTAATGATGATGTAGATTGATCGGTGGGATGAATGCCCTCAGTAGAGCAAAGCTTGATTTTTCTTTTCAGTTGTTTTGCTTTGTTTTTAATGGCAAGACAGAAGTGAAGATGCAATTAACATTTTGAAGATTTAGGCATCGTATTTTTTACCAGTCCTATGAATCTGCTGGAAGAGTGTCATAGAGAAGGCCATGCCAAGTATCTGAAAGAGAGCAAATAATATGGGCTCAATATAGAACACCTCAAAACTCTGCTGATGATATTTTTGTCTAAGGGTGCCTGAATTTTTTTTCACTCAATACCAAAAAAATCCCTCCAGCCGATATGTTCAGTAGGATTCTGAGTGGCCAACAGCAGACCTTTAAAGGGGTCTGGAATTGAGAGGACAGGTGATCAGAATTTGCAGAAGATGTATCTTCCTTGAAGTTGAGCTTCCATAAAGCACTAATCCCTGATGAACAGAGTTTCCCAGAGGTATGCTGTATTGCAATTCAGCATCAGAAAATCAAAAGAACAGCAAGAAACTCACTTGAATCCAACATACCACAAAGACAATTGAACAGAAACACTTGGACTATCCCCTTTTTAAAACTGCAAAAAGAAAAAACATCAGCCCTGGTTCATTATTTATTTATTGGAACATGTTTGGTTGCTTCTGAATGAGGATGTTAAGAGACGGGTAATTGTGTAATCGTGTAGTCGATACAATTTGCATCAACTACATTAGTTGCTAAGGGAAGGCGCTTAGAAGGAGCTGCTACCCCCACTGCGGCTCTGCAGTTTAAATGTGCGCAGACAGCCCGGCTCCTACTATATTTAAACTGCAGCACCACAGTGGGGTAACTCCTGTACCTGGTGCAAGCCGGGAATGAGCCGTGTTTGCTCAGTCCTGGCACACATGGAGTCGATCAGCTTCCCCAACTGCCTTCCCCTCCTCCCTTCAGATGGGCTGCTGCCAGAGCAGCCTCAGTTTGTGGCCAGGACAGGCTGCCGCACACTGCCAGAGCTGTTTCTGTTTGCAGCATCTGGGGCAGGCTGCACACAGGGCTGCTTCATCACGGCAGCTCCTATCCACGGGGTGCCCCAACTCCCTGCTGGGACCCCCACGGAAAGGGCTGCTGCTGATAAAGGCAGCAGTGCAGAGGTGGGGCAAGCGGCACCGCAGAGACGGTGCTGGAGGAACTGGCTTTTAAGCCAGCTCCCGCTTCCTCCTCCCCTTGCTGCCTCTATATAAGAGGCAGCGAGGGGAGAGGGGATGTGCAACGTCGACTCGACTACCCAATAAGCCTAGGCTTACCAGGTAGTCGACTAATCGACTACCCTTTTACATCTCTACTTCTGAATTTCTCTTGTTCTATGAGTCTGATTAATACAGGGACGGTCATTAAAAAGTCCGTATTTGCAACCAATTACACAGTTACCAAAGAGCCAAGTTCTGCATAGCATACAGTAGATCTAAACACAGAGTACAGGCAGTCCCCGAGTTCCGCAGTTACGAACGGGGCCCTTCCTCTCCCTGGTCTCCAGCAGACCAGGGAGAGGAAGCAAAGCGGCGGAACACGCGGGCAGCGGACAGGGCTGTCTGCTGCCCACGCGCTCCGCGGCTTGGCTCTGCTTTGCTCTGCTTTGCCACCCCCG